AATCAAATGGGTTTAAACACTCCAATGCACTCTAATTGACTTGTACATATTGGCTTGAGCTAAACCCCAAAAGGAAATTGGAGCTTAATTATCAAATTGAAGCTCAATTCATCAAATTAAACCCTAGACAGGAGTGGGTCAAATTGGATTGTATCAATTGGATCAATCTAACTTGGTTTTACAAGTCATTGGCCAGCTAAATTGATCAAATTGATTCAAATTGATGTGAATTTGTCAAAATTGATTTGGGAATGAGATGCATATGAGAAATCAAACTTATTCGTCATTTAATTGCGTAATTCAAGAAGAACCAACCGGAATCCCTAATTATGGCTCAAATTGGGGATTTTCACCTTTGACTTGGAATTCTAAAATTGGCTTGAAAATTGAATGTAAAACGACTTCTAGATCAAATGTCGGGAAGGAAACTATCCTAAAAAATGACTAGAAATGAAGAAAACTTTTGGTCCGTTTAAACCAAATCCCGCGAGTTCGGGCAAAGTTGTTCTAAACCGATTTTTGTAAAATTAATGATGCCAAAGTGAAATTAAGGTAAAAAGGAGTTGATTTAGGGCTTTTCAATTTTTCAATTTTTTTAAACAAAGTGTTAACCAAAAGTTAACATTTTGGTAATTATTTACTAAAATGTCAATTAATGGTCAAACTTTGAATTTTTTTGAAAATTGATAATGCAAAAGTGAAATAAACACAATTTTAGGATTTTTCATTCAAAAAATCAAATTTTGACTTAGGGTTGACTTTTCAGTCAAAATTCGATCAAAAGTCAACTCAAGAATCAACGATTTGACTTTTTGAGATTAAAGTGTAAAAAGCTTGAAAATGAGAGGCTACAGCTAATTCAAATGTTAAATGACTCTTTTTGGTTAAGAAATGGGTTCCGTCCCAATCAGAAACCCTAATCTCAAGTTTTTTACCTTTACAACGCGTTGGCTAAAAATCAAGTATCAACAGGCGTTAGTGGAAACATTAACGTAACCCAATACGTAGATATCTGTGAATCCATAAGGACTCGAAACAAAATTCCTACATTTCAATTGGGTATTCTAGCCGACTCCGACAAAAGGCTAATGACGACTCCTAATTGCTAAAAACATAAAAAAAAAAATGATCCTGTGACACGAGAGGTATAATTGAGGGAGAATTCACATTCATGGTTAATGGATCTTATAAATTAACAAAAGAATAATGCTTGTTGAGCCATCTTTTGGGATATACCATTTGGAACGTTTCCACGAACAATTACCTCTAAATCTATACCCGAAGCAACCCTCGAGGGGTAGGTCGCAACAAACATGCTATTGGAACTTAAAAAATTTAGATTACAATTCTACTGGCATAACAAAGACTAAGGTTAAATGTGAGGCCCACTCTTAACTTAAGCTTATTTTTTTTTACGTTTTTTCTTCGTTTCGTTTAGTTTCCTTTCTTATTGTTTTTCTTTTGCATTTCTGACAAAATTAGTGTCCCTCTTTTGCAAAAAATAGTTTACGTGGAAAATCGACAACTAATTATTGTGTTAATGAATTATATATTTATTTTATATTATTTTCTGATGGAAATCATGACTCTAAACATAATTGAAGTATAAGTAAGAGTGAAAAGAATCATTTACTTGTTTTCATGAATGCATATGATTTGATTAAACCTTTTGATATATGTCATTACTTATAGTCTGTGCACTTTAACTGCCTAACCTTCATTTTACTTGGTGAATATAATAGTCCCACTTTTATTTATTTTTCATATCATCACCACCCGATTTTTTAATATATATATATATATATATATATATGAAAAAATGATAATATGACAAACTTAAAAATTGAAAATTTCTAAACATCCATTATTATTATACAAATTACCTTTGCCTTGACAATTAGCAGTTGACAAGAAATTTTTGGCCTTGTAAGTGCCTTGTAAGTTAAATGCCCAGTATTAACTGCTAATTTCGAAAGAAAACGGAAGAGAGACTATATACTTGCTTTCATTTGCATATAATTTTTTTTGTGTACTCGGTCTTCCTTATTTTTTTTTCAACTCTTTTTCTCCACTCTTTTAATTTATTATTACTTGTTCTTTCTTCTTGTCCATCTTCTCCAAATTTCTGGATTTTTCTTACACTTGCATTCGTAATTGAAGGCACAAAAAGGACATCTTCGCACGTTAGACACCATAGAAAACAAATGCAACTATCTTTATTTCATCCAAAAAGAGAGCTTACAATATTATTTTAACCATAACCAAATGTTGAAATATTAGAAACCTTCCGAGCACAAATTTCTTCATTGCCGTAGATTTTAGGATTTCCAACTTTCGCATTGATTGTCAGGTAAACACGCACCAGTAGATACTATAGACCACACACAAGTAGTACATCGTTCAAAATCTCTAGGCTCATCATATATATTAATATAGTGAGACTCCACAGGCCATTGCATGTTGCAAAAGAATAGAGTGCCACCAAAAAATTTGGGAGTGAAGGTAAAACTCCAGAAGGCACCAGGATTGATCCGATGAATGCCAAGATCATCTTGTTTAGATTTGCAATGAACCGTAAGCACGACTCCTCCTGGTAATTTGTTGAAAATTTGGACTTTAGTTTCATGGAAAGCACCGTCGGAGCTAGGTTGTTGGAAGACAAGAATAATCATGAACATCATGAAAACGGTGTTTTTCTTAAACACATACATATTCGTCAACTATGTTTTTCTTTTGGAATATGAACATAGTCAAGTATGGTGGAGAAACCTATTTAAGGATGATTAAGATGCTTCATTTGGTAAGACATAAAAAAAATGCTTGTTGGGTACTAAGATGACAAATGTTTAGGCCACATATGTACAATCTGGGAAAATCTAGTAATGTATTTATTAAAATATCTTTACTTGTGTTTATTTTTTTCGCATCTAGATTTTTTTCTATATATGCATACATCTATACTAATACGTAGAAATTAGATGCAATGTAGTTATCAACATATCTATACTTGTATCTCTTTTCTTTCCATATATACATCGAAAGTAGATGCAATGTATTTATTGAAATATCCATACTTGTATCTTTTTTTTTTCTTCGCATCCATATTTCTTTCTATATTGTTGACATGTGCATCCTGGTTGACAATTCAAATTTTCATTCTTGTAAAAATACAAAACAAAAATGAATGAATAGTAATGACCCATCAATTTGGACGAACACATCCCATTTACATAGTCTAATTCACCAAAGCCATGTCATAGGATCAAAAGAAATTAAGCTCAAGGTCTTCAGTCGCAGCCCATGCTCCAAACTTAGCCTCATAAATTCTAGTCCATTGCTTGAAATAGACTGACTCAAGCCCATAAAAAAAAGACCCAAAAGGGAAGAAAGCCCGGTGTCGCGACCTCCCTGAACTTGTCTCGCCACCTAAGGCGGTTTGGCTAATGGATTATTAAGTTTAAACCTAGTTCGGGCTCTTCCAAACCTATACCAATTCATGACTTATGCATAAGTTACTAACGTACAAATTAATTTCATTTAGGAGTCACCACTAATTAATTTTTTGTGGGTCGATTAGATACCCAAGTAAAGCGCAGGAGAATTGCTTTACTTTTACGAAATAGAGATTTAATGGGTTCGTGTGACATTCCGAATTTCGACCTATTTTTGGGATTTATAAAGCGTGTATTTCATCAATGTACTTATGGTAAAATTTCGCCAACAACTGATCACTCTTGGGTTATTTTTTTTAAAATTAGAGATTTCGCTAGAATCGCACTCGATCGAATATGGTCGTTATTTAGAGCTCGAACTTTGGTGTCGAATTTCTCGGAGTTTCGTGACGAATTTAATTGGACGGTGTCGATATTAATGTGGCCAGCGTCAATATTGCCCGGAATTGGTGAAAAATGAAATTTGGACCGGGTGTGGATATTAATTAGTAAACCTCCCTCTTAGTGTATTTTATTTAGTGTATTCTGGGCTTTTTCTTAATTTATAATTTGGGTTTTTCGTGGAATGTTGGATCGACTTCGAGTTTGAATGTGGACCGTTAGATCGCACTCGATTAGGTTGACTCTCTCTCTCTATCTCTCTCCCGCCGCCCAGCTCACTGTTGCCTGCTTGCTCGTCGCCGTCTTTGCTCACCAGCTGCTTGCCTAGCTTGCCGTCGCCCAGCTCGCCTGGCCGTGTCGCCTAGCCCACTGTCCAGGCCGTGGCCGAGCTCGCCTGGCCGTTGCCCCAATCGTGCCCAGCCGCTCGCCCGCGTGCCTGGTCGCTCGCCTGGCCGTGGCCGAGAGCAGCGCCGAGCCTGGCTGGCCACCTTGCCCGTTGCGCTCGTGCCGTGCCGAGCCCGCCACTGTTCCACCGGGCCATTTTGGCCTCTTGCCAATTTTCCTTGGGCCAAAACCTAAGTAAGTGACCTCCTAATCCCTACTTAGTACTTTGGGTATTATTAGACTTGTTTAGGGGTTGATGAGGGTTGGTTTAGTGACTAAGTTAGGTATGGATTAGTTAATTGAATGTGATTGGTTTTATGGATTATGTGGTGGTGATTTTTGTGGCTAAATTAGTGATTGATTGAGATGGCTTCAATGACCGGGTTGTCGTGGCGTTTGTGGGGGAAATAGATGTTTGAATGAGGCCGACTTGAAGGTCGGGTTGGTGGGCTAATATGGTGAGCATAACTTGAATTTGAATAGTATGACGTGTTAGATTGGTATTGGCAAATTGTGTGTGGCGTATGTGCATGAGGTGTCACACCCCGAACCCCGACGAGCGCGCGACACCCCAAGCTCGGTTGAATTAGTGCGACGTCCCAGGAAACGCCGCCGACCCAAGCCAACACATCAGAGTTCGAACACGGCGGAAACGAGAACATAAACCCTGACAATATAATCATGGGGTAATAGGGAGAGACAAATCACCAAACCACCAAGCACTATATTAGACCGCGATATATACAATATCCATTACAATCCATCACAACTAGCAACCAACCACTACATTATACCCACTATATTCACAACAAACATATTATACATGCAAACTGGCTTCTACAGTTCACAGCACCAACATCAAAAGGGACCAGTAGTCTGGGTATATACTAACTCCAAAAAGGGGCACTTCAAAAAAGGGTTACTGTAACGACCCAATCCGACGAGGGCGGGGAGTGGTTGCCGGGGCCAGAGGGCCTGGACAAGGAGCGGCTCCTGGCAGGCTTCTAGGATGGCAAGGGAGGCATGTCTCTTGTCCCACATCGCCTAGGGGGGAGTCCTGGGCTAGTTTATAAGGGCTTGGAAAGCCTTAACTTGCAAGAGGCCTTTTCTAGGGGTAGTATGGGCTATCCTCGGAGGAACAAAACCGTGAGGACTTAGTGTCCAAAGCGGACAATATCTTGCAAGTGGGACCCAGATCGTTACAAATGGTATCAGAGCCGACTCCCGACCGCGTATGGGGCCACAGCGGGGACGCTGTGCCCAAAGGGGGGGAGAATGTAATGACCCGATCCGACGAGGGCGGGGAGTGGTCGCCGGGGCCAAAGGGCCTGGACAAGGAGCGGCTCCTGGCAGGCTTCTAGGATGGCAAGGGGGGGCATGTCTCTTGTCCCACATCGCCTAGGAGGGAGTCCTGGGCTAGTTTATAAGGGCTTGGGAAGCCTTAACTTGCAAGAGGCCTTTTCTGGGGTTAGTATGGGCTATCCTCGAAGGAACAAAACCGTGAGGACTTAGTGTCCAAAGCGGACAATATCTTGCAAGTGGGACCCAGGTCATTATAGTTACCCTACCCCTAATTAACCCCTACGTCCTCTAGACGGTGTCCACTTCGAATCGGTCTCCCAAGAACCTGAATCTAACTCTCCCTGATCCACCTGCTCCTCTGAAGACTCAGAATCCACCTCAATCTCGATCGGATTATCTTCATCTCCCGACTCCAATGGGACCTCAATCAGCTCCTCTTCTTCAAGCTCCTCTTCCGGTTCTTCCTCGGGTTCTTCCTCTGGCTCTTCTTTCGGTTCCTCCTCGGGTTCTCCCTCAGGTTCTTCTTCGGGATCCTCTACTTCTAAATCCACGTCCATCGGATCGAACCCTGCTTGTGACTCTTCCGACTCCGGTTCAGGCTCAGCTACCATGGGTTCGGGTTCTGCAGGTACAGGTTGATGACCTGACTGTGCGAGGCTAGTGTCGAGGCTGGTCATCTCCCCATCAGGAGGAGGTATAGCCAATGGATCCCGATCTCCCACTCCATCAAAAGGGACATCAAAACCACGAATCGGTTCGAACTCGTCCATACCCTCCCGGAAACACTAGGCTGTATAAGTATGGGCTTGCTAAAAGGGTTGTCCTATATCTACCCAGACTACTGTGGTGTGCTTAATCCAAGTCATATTATCATCTATAGGGTACTCTACTACTGCATGATCGGTATGCATAGGTATGCCAAAACGCTGAGGCGGTGGCGGTGGAGGATTCATGGTCCAGGCTGGGGTTCTGAAAATGTTAATTTATACAACTATGAGACGAATCTCAATAAGTCGACAGCCTAAACCTCACTTAGGCTATCACGTACCTCCAGACAAGTCCAAACACAATGTCACTCGATAAACACATAACATGCACACAAATGCACTTACCTAGGCTCTTAGTACACACAATCTGCACGTTAGTCTCAAATCCACAAATTTCAAACCACATGCACTTTACAAACTCATCTCATGCCCAAAAGCAAATGTCGAACACATGGCATTTCCGAACTCCGCATTTCACACTCATTCATGCACCACCACACCATTTTCATTAAACTTTCCAACGACCCGCGTAAACACGCCTCAGGTACGATCTCATTCTCACTTGCAACATCACACATCTCACTCTCAATCTCTTTCCACGGCCCGCGTAAACACGCCTCAGGTCTGATCTCATTTCCACTTGCCACATCACACATCTCATTCTCAATCTCTTTCCACAGCCTGCATAAACATGCCTCAGGCTCCACATTCGTATCACGACCCGTGTAAACACGCCTAAGGGATTAAGTGATCACGCGAACATGCCAACACGCCATATTTTATCTGTACCCCACGTAAACACGCCTCAGGGCTTTTTAGTGATCACACGCACATCACACACCCCAAATCTCACACGTTCGCATACTCGAACATTAATTAAATGCACTCAAATGCACCCAATTCAACCATCTCCATTCAGCCCATGTAATATACATACAACCATCACATAACATGCCATTTTTCATCACAAAAACCATGGCACAACAAGCACTGCACTACATCACGATTTCACCCAATTAAGAGTCGAACCGAATTATGCACCCTACACACCAAACCGAATTTTGCAGCACTTAAACCAACCATACTCAGCCCTCAATTAACCTCTAATTACTCACCAAATCACCCTAATTTCGTCCATAAAAACCCTCATCCAAAACAGCCCACAAAACTACACTAAACCGTGTCTAAACGAATCCGTTAATACCCGATATCCGGTGGTTGGACGCACGGCGGATGGCGAGCGCGCGGCGATCCGGCAAGGCTCCGGCCAACACATGGCCAAGGGGAAGAGAGAGGGTTGGTTCGGCCAAGGGGGAATGTCACGCCCCGAACCCCAACAGGCTCGCGACACCCCTTTGATGGCCGTATTGACCGCGACGTCCCAGGACGCGTCGCCGACCCATACGAAACACGCAAAGACGTATGCAAGCGGAAGCGAAATTTAAGCAACCCCGACGATAGTTAATGACAAGGGATAGCGCTACAACATTCACAAATACACAACATCAAAAGGGGACAGTGGTTAGGTAACCTACTTCACTATACAAAATAGGGGCATCCAAAGATGAAGCGAAGCGTCAAATGCCCAAGGTTACGCCCGGTCTCTGAAATGCACGTGACGACTATCCGTCACTCCAAACCTGAAAATGTTTAACAACGGGGGATGAGATAAATCTCAATAAGCAGACAACCTAAACCCCACCTAGGCCAATGCGTACCCAGACAAGTCTCAATATGCAATCTAACCATCGACGTACTAGAAATCACATAAACATACTTACCTCACCTCCAATCACGCGCCAACTCTGCATATTAGTCAAACGCTATAATGCAATAATAGTCCAAGCACATATCACAATCATTCGAGCGCCATACACAAGTGCATTCATCCACTTCAATCAAGCACATTCCACATGCATGTCCATTCAACTAGCCACGACCCGCGTAAACACGCCTCAGGTCCTTTCCTACAGCCTGCGTCAACACGCCTTAGGCCCATTCTCACAGCCGACGTCAACACGCCTCAGGTTCATTCTCACAGCCCGCGTAAACACGCCTCAGGCTCATTCTCACAGCCCGCGTAAACACGCCTCAGGCCCATTCTCACTTTCCCATGACCCGCTTAAACACGCCTCAGGTCCAACTTTCTTTCCAATGACCCGCGTAAAAACGCCTCAGGTCTTTTCTTGCCTTTCTCGCCACACCCGCGTAACCACGCCTCAAGTTGGCAGCCCTCCGATCAATCCGGGCTTTGTCCAATGACCCGCGTAAACATGCCTCAGGTCTATCCTGCCTTCCACAGCCAAGCACATGCGCCACATAATGCATTCATTCAATTTCCATGTCTTTCACGTAATCAAATATCACACAACCATTTCCAAACAACCACAATACAATTTTCCATTGAATCAAATCAACCCACACGTACTCTAAATTGATCACGCTTTCAACAATTCAAGTCACAATTTGCCAAGCTTGCTCGGCCCCACCTAGGCCAACAATTCCAACTCACAACCAAGCACATTTAACTCAAAGACGAGCTCTAAACTCGAGAACAAGAGCAACAACAATTCAGCCACGACATAACCCACATAACATCATGATTTAGATCGCAAACCAAGTCACAAACTCATCAATGTCAGCCCAACTCAACAAGCACTAACAACTGCCAGTCGAGCATTGAATTACACGCAAACGATCATTAAACACTATGCAATTTTCCAGCATCAACCGGCCTAAAAAACAGTCATAAACCACCCCAAATCAGCCCCCAATTCTTCCTCAAACACGACATCCTTTGGTTCAACAACTCGCCAACAATTAAGCACAATTCCTACCATCAAATGGTCCTACCGCAGCACACACGACACCACTATTCAGCCCGCCATAGCAACATACGAAAGATCAACATTCCCACCTACGAACTAGCCCCCACCAGCCCACGATTAGCACACAAAACAATCCTTAATCGGCCATAGATCCACTTCTAATCGCTCCTAAACAAGTCCAACAATACCCGAAGTCCTAGGCGAAGTTTAGAGTGTCGCTTACCTCGACTTGAACAAGAAAACGGGCAAGGGCAGCGGGGACTCGCCGGAACAGCGGCGACAGCGGCGATCGGTGAGGCTCTCGCCCACAGCCGGGCAGCAGGGGCGGCAAGGGGCCTCGGCTGAGGCGATAGCAGGGGCGAGCAGGAGCCTCGCCGAACGGCAGCAAATCCGGCGAACGCGCGGCGAGCGGCGGATCTGGTCGGTCTTGGCTCCGGTGCGACCAAAGGCCGCGCAAACAGGGGAAGAAAAGGAAGAGGAGGGGCGACGGCGACGGCGACGGCTCCGGTCTGGGACGAGCGGCCGACGGCGAGCTGGGCGAGCGTGCGGCCGGCGACCTGGAGCGGTGGAAGGCTCGGCCAAAACAGGGGAAAGCAGGTGGTGGCGGCCAAGGGGGGGCAGCTGGGCGGCAGAGTGGCTGAGGGGAGAGGCTGGGTGGCGGAGGTGGAGCGGCAATGGCTGGAACGGCGGCACGCGGCGACGACGAAGCTGGGGGGCCAAAACAGGGGAAGGCACCGGGGAAAAGAAAAAGAGAGAGAAAGTGGAGATGGTGGCGGCCAAGGGGGCAACTGGGCGGCAGAGGTGGCTAAAGGGAGAGGCCGGGTGGCGAAGGCGGCCGGAACGGCAGCACGCGGCGGCAGCGAAGCTGGGGGCCCGAAACAGGGGAAGGCGCCGGGGAAAGAAAAACAGGGGGAAATGGGAGATCGCGCAGCGGCCGGATGCAGCATGACGGCGTCGCGGGTGGCCAAATGACGGCGAGCAGCGATCGGCGTCGGCTGGGGGCAAGCTGCGAGCGACGGGCGGCGTCGGGCAGCAAGAACAGGAAAGGCGAAGCGGCTGCGGGAGGAAGAAGAAGACCTAGGGAAGAAGAAGAAAAGAAAAGAAAAAGGAAAAAAGGAAGAGAGAGAGAGGGGAGACGTGAGAGGAAGAGAAGGGTGGAGGGGACATCTGCATGCATGGGCAGACGTGCGCAGTGGGGAGGTGACCGGGGAGGAAGAGAGAGAGAGAGAGAGACAAAGTCAACGCACTTGAGTGCGATCCGACGGTCACGATTCAAACCCAAAATCGATCTAACGGTCCACGAAAACCCTAATTAATAATATTGGAAAAAGGACCGAAAGAAAATAACTAAAACACACTACGAGAGAGGTCTACTAGTCCAAATTCGTACCCGCTCAAAATTTCACTTTTCGCATATCCTGGGCAATATTGAGGCTGGGCACAATAATATCGATACCTTCCAATTAAATTCGTCCCGAAACTCCGAGAAATTCGACACCAAAGTTTGGGCTCTAAATAACGGCCAAATTCGATCGTGTGCGATTCTAGCGAAATCTCTAATTTAAAAATAATAACCCAAGAGTCATCAGTTCCGGGCGAGATTTTATTATAAGCGCACTGACGAAATACACGTTTTATAAATCCCAAAAATGGGCCGAAATTCGGAATGTCACAACTCTTTCCCCCTTACAAAAATTTCGTCATCGAAATTTACAATCCAACCCAACTATTCGAACAAATGGGGGTATTGGTGTCGCATCAACTCTTCGCTTTCCTATGTCGCACCTTCGGTTCCATGATGCTCCCAAATCACCTTGACCATCGGAATTGTCTTGTTCCGCAACACTCGTTCCATTCTGTCCTTGATTCTTACTGGCCTTTCCACGTACGACACCCTATCGTCCACGTCTATTTCTTTATAATTCAGCACGTGGGTCGGATCCTGTTCATACTTCCTTAACATAGACACGTGGAATGCTTTATGCACTTGAGACAAATTTGGCGGTAGCGTGAGATGATAGGCCAAGGCATCGATTCTCTCTAAGACCTCAAATGGACCCACGTACCTCAGGCTCAACTTCCCTTTCTTGCCAAACCGTGACAATCCTCTCATTGGCGATACTTTGAGGAATACGTGGTCCCCTACTTGAAATTCCAAAGGCCTACGTCTCCAGT